AGGCAGGGACAGGGGCAGGCGGGGCTGCAGCTCAGGGGGAATGGAGGCGATAGGCGGGTCGCTAGCTGAGTGATTCTGTGCTCTCTCTTCTCAGAGACACTGAGGTGGTGCTTCCAGGAGCTTTCTCTTGCTTTCGGGCAATGTAGTTGACCCTCGAACATCATGGGGGTTAGGGGTACTGATCACCCACCATGTCGAAAAGCCATGTGTATTTTGTATGGACCCTCCACATAGGCGGGGTCTGCATCTGGGGATTCAACTAACTGACAACAGCGCTGGTTGAGTCTCTGAATGTGGAAACTGTGGACAGGAAACACCTGCCCTGGAGATGCCCTGTGCAGTTCTGTGCTGTTCAAGGGTCAAGCCTGAAATCACTCCAAGTTGCATTTGACCCTTAATGCATGCTTTCACCCTCCACCACAGCTATTTGGCTGATATGGCCCCTCTCCTCACACTGTGTCCCTTGTCACCTCTCACCGTCTGACCCCAAATCTGCCTGTTCTACTTCTCAGACTTTCGTGGCTCTGGTCATGCTCTCAGATGCCTCCTCTGAAGTGCTTCTGTGGGCTAAGCTTCTAGGTGCGGGGAGCGCCCCTGGGCTGCAGGCCCCGGGGAGAGGACAGAGGTCCCTGTAGGAGTCTTGGGAGCTGTGCTGGTGGCTATCGCTTACCTCCCCCTGCAGTGAGCAGCTGTCAGAACAAAGTCCGTCTGCACGAGGACCCCTCCACACCTCATCTTCGCCTTCTTAGTCAGAAGCTGAACCAATGCCTTGTGGGGGTGGGAGTGGGTCTTGACCTCGTGGCCCCCGATGATCCCCTCTGAAAAAAAAAGACTGGAAGATGGGAGACTGGGAGTGGCTGTGGTCAGGAGGAAAGGCTTGGCATGGTGGCGATTGGGGGTGGACTGCCCGTGTCTGTGGACAGAGGGGGAGTCCTCCAAGTAGTCCCAGGTACACAATAACCTTTTCTGAACTTTGAGTCTCAGAATCCCACTCTGCAAATATTGGGGGTGGAGGGCAGGGCTTAATTTCTGGCTGTGACTTGAGACACGAGTGGAGGAAAGAGCTGTCTTCAAGATGGCGGCATCCCAGGGCCTCAGGTTTGGGGCTCTCCTGCTGCCTTCTTTGTCAGTGAGTCTCCCTGAACTCTCTGATCCACTAACATCCCAATTAGTGCCATTTGCTAATAATCCACTCAGGGGCTTATGTAGTTGGATTTTGCAAAATCTTCATATTCTCATGTTAGGGACAGAAAAGAACTCTCACACACAAACCCAAGGGGTCATAGCACATGTCCACCATCCCACAAGGCAGCTGGGCTTAGCAAGGCCCAGGTAGGATCTGGTAGGTCTGGGAGGCCTGGGGAGAGTCTTTCAACTAGAGTTTCTCTGACTCCAAAAGAGGGAGGGAGGGATAGTTCCATTTAATCCCAGAATGTATGCATGGGGGCTGGTGATGGGAGCAAGGTATGCATCATTAAGAGAGACCCTTCTCACAAAGATAAACAGCTGGGACTATATCAAATTAAAGAGCTTCTGCACAGCAAAAGAGACAATAACAAAAACAAAGAGAAACCCCACCAACTGGGAGAACATTTTTGCACACAACACTAATGATAAAGGACTGATCACAAAAATCTGCAAAGAGTTGATGAGACTCAACAACAACAAAGAAAATAATCCAGTCAAAAAATGGGCAGAAGAGCTAAAAAGAAACTTCTCTGAAGAGGAAATGCAAATGGCCACCAGGCATATGAAAAAATGTTCAACATCACTTGTAATCAGGGAAATGCAAATCAAAACTACCATGAGATACCATCTCACACCAGTGAGAATGGCACATATTAAAAAAACTAGCAACAACAAATGTTGGCGAGGGTGTGGAGAAAAAGGAACTCTTCTGCAATGTTGGTGGGAGTGCAAACTGGTCCAACCACTATGGAGAGCTGTGTGGAGATTTCTGGACCTACTAAACATAGAGCTTCCATAGGATCCAGCAATTCCACTCCTAGGTATCTACCCAAAGGACACAGAAACATCAATTCCAAAGAGCACCTGCACCCCTATGTTTATAGCAGCACTGTTTACAATAGATAAGCTTTGGAAACAACCCAAATGCCCAAAAATAGATGACTGGATCAAGAAGATGTGGTAAATATACACCATGGAATATTACTCAGCATTCAAAAAAGATAAACACATGCAATTTGCGGCAACATGGATGGCGCTGGAAGGGATCATGCTCAGCGAAATAAGCCAGAAAGAAAAAGAAAAATACCGGATGGTCTCACTCATAGCAGGAATCTAGAAAATTAAATAAGGGACCAGGAAAAAGAATAACTATAAGAAAGTGAAAATCAAAATCAACAAAAAACTATGAACCAAAGATACTTTTGGAGGGGTGGGTGGCGGGAGGGGAGGGATTGGGGTCAAAATGGGGGTGTTGCAATTGTATGGGGAATATAAAAATAAAATTTATTATTTAAAAAAAAAAAGAAGTATGGGGGAAAAAAAGATTCAAAAAAAAAAAAGAGACCCTTCTCCATCCAGAAAGGAAAAAGCCTCACACAACCCACTACTTCGTGCCTCCAGTGCCTCCCCGCCCTCCCCCTGCTGAGACCACCTGCTGCCTCTCATGGGGTCTGTCCTGTCGCTGCTTAATAAACCCTGGTGCTGCCTTCATTCTGGAGCTTTGTGAGACTCTTTTCTCCAGAGATACCAAGGACCCTCCAGTGTTACGGTCCCCACACTAGGACCTAACACATTGTAGCTTCACAGGAAACATCTTTTGGCTGCATGGAGGCCTCCAATAAGCCCTTGGCTTACGCTTGGTGGACACTGCTGGTAGGATTTGAGACCACAGGGGTGAGGACACAGCTAGAGTCACTGGAGCACTGAGGACCTGGGAAGGCAGGCGGGCGTGGGAGGGACATGGGCCACACAGACCGGGGCAGCCCAGGCCACAGGGGAGCTTTCAGGCAGTCATGTAGCCACTTCTCAGATCCATCCCAGCCTGGGCCCCCTCCCTGGCAGGAGGGAGGGGGTGGAGGGCCTGAGAAATTTAACTGGTCCTTAGGTGAGTCTGACCACTCCTCCCACACACAGCCTGAGTCTCTGAGCTGCCCTGCCCTCAGTCTGATGCTCAGGACTCTAATGCTTTGTCGCTGTAGCTGCACCGCACCCCCCCTTGCTGAATGCCTCTCTGTGGACAGCCGTGTCCCAGGCAGTGGAGATGGACTCAGACTCACACCTATTAAGTTTTTGAGGGAACAGCCCTCCTTCCTGCCGGCCCGTTGAGGGTGTAGGCAGCTTGGGACTTGTTAGTCTGAGTCTGAGGCGAGTTCAGAAAGTTCGTGGGCCTGAATCGAGCACAGTCCCTCAATGTGCTGGGCATAAGGGTCAGGAGGACCGGGAGCCCTATGAGGGGGCTAAAGCCTCAGCCGTGGGGGTGGTCACTCACCTGTGCTAGCCCCGGGGGGGGCAGAAGAAAGGCCAGCAAGAGCAGGAGGGGCTGCATCTCTCTGAGGGCCTGCCCAGGTCAGAGCTGCTGTTTTTTCCTGGCAGACACTAACACCCAGAGGGAAGTGGGGAGGGGCGGCTCAGAGGCCTCACAGCCTCCTGTACCCACACAGCTCAGTAATGCCGGGTGTCATCACACGAGGCACTTGGGCTAGGTGTGAACAGAGTTAAATGTGTCACAGTGTGTGCAGGGCCCGATGAGTCAGAGGTGAAAGCTCAGGAAAGGGCAAGAAAGTGAAGGCCGGGGTGGCAGCCAGCACAGGCTGGGACCCCAGCAGCCCCGGCTCCTGGCTCTCTTCCATTCTCACGAAACCATGAGTGATCGCTCAGCAGGCAAGTTCCAGGCCTCTGAGAGAGCCGGCTCCTGCCCCCGAGCAGCTGACCCCGCTGCAGTAGCCTAAGAGCCTGTGCTTAGAGGGACAGGGGGTCAGGATGCGGGGTGTCCTGGCTGGGGTGAGAGGTAGACTGGTTTTGCCTTATGAGCAGTGGAGGTGGACACACCCGAATACCCCACGGTAGCCCTGTTTCCTGTCTTACCACCATTCCAGACTCATACCTTTAAAGGTTCACATTTCCCTTTTCCAAATCTAAGTGTTCTGTGACAAAGAGCTTCTTTAAGCTCTCAGCTTTGAACAGAAGTCCTGGACTTGACAGTCACTGGACAGAAGCCAATCACCCCTGGGTCCCTTGAAGTGTTCTGGTTGGTTTGTGTTTAGGTCACTTAGCACCCTTTGGGCTGTGGGTCTGTCCCCCCAAGTCACAGTGCCTTGAGTGGGGAAGGGCTCCCCTGCAGAAAAGCTGCCAGTGCTGCCAGGTGAGGGGGGTGAACGCCGTCATGCTCCCCTCACGGGAACTAGGGCCCTCCGTCCCAACACCGTGTGTGTGAGGCTCCTGAACCTGTGACCAGCAGCGTCAGCAACAGGGGCCCCCACGCTCCCCAGCAGGACAGCAGGTGATGGAGGTCAGGCTGAGCCCGACAGCCAGGCCCACTTCTGTTAGAGGAGCAGCATCTTTTGAAGACACAGGACAAGAGCGGGAGGAGACGCGGGGAGCAGGAATGAGGATCATCTCCAGGTAGTCTCAGAAATCTCATGTTTTTATTTACACATTCTGTGCTGAACGATCACGCCTTTGAGGAATCTATTACTTTCAGGCCCAGAATTTACTTCCCCGCAGTGTAAGCACTCTCGTCAGTGCAAACAATTCAGCATTCTTCTACTTTCAATCCTCTAAGGCGGAGGCTTTCAAATGAGGTACTTTCTACCTACGTTCTTAGGAAAAGGATTTAGAGGTTCTTGAAAAATAGAAGGAAAAATTTACTCATGAAGCTATAAGCTGTAGGGCAATTTGAGAAACAGGAGGAGTCAACGATTTCCCTCTAGAAATGAAAGTTTGTGAAGCCCCTGGCAGCCCCCCCACCCCCACCGGCCAGTGCTGCTCCAGCCTCTGCCCCAGAGAGGACAGATGGCTCAGTCCCTGGCACCTCAGCCTGGTCCCTGCAGTGTGACTTGTCTCATTGTTTCTTCTACCCAGGGCACAAAGCTTGAGATCCTGGTGAAGACACGAGGAGGCGTCCCATTCCTGTGCCCTAAGGAGATGATGCCCTGAGCCACCTCGTTACACACCAAGGGGCCCCCGGAGTCACCCTGTGGGCAGATGGAGGAAGAACTGAGTGGGGCCTTCTCCTGGTCCTGACCTTCCCACTGCCCCAGGACTGGGGGTCTCTGATAGGGGCTGTGGTGAGATCAGATGCAGAACAGATCCCCGGGTTCCTGCCTGCCCTGGCAATTCCCTCCCTCTCCTCTGTCAGGAAGCTTCTGCCCATGAGTAGCTGAGGGGCAGTGTCCTGTCCCCTAGGAAGGCGGACCAGAGATGGAAGATGGGAAGGCTGAGTCAGTAAGGATAAGGCTGGTTCTCACTGCCCTGGGCTCCTCAAAGCCTGGCTGTACCCAGGGTTGGGCATGGTCAGTGCTGGTGAGCTCACCTTATATGAAGCCTTCGTTGTTCCAGGCTCTCCCGCACATATCTGGATGCTGTTGTCGTAAAAGTAGTATCTGTATTCCTGGCAGCAAATTCTCCTCCTTTGAACTATAAGGTCTGCCTCGTGCAGTTTATCTGACATTTTCATGACATTGACATTGCGGACGCCCCATCCCACCACGGTGCACACCATCCCCGGCTTCACCGATTCATCCTTGCCAGGCAGCCTGATGGTTCTCACGTAGGCGTTCAGCTCGGCCTTCCACTTCAGCTTGCAGGAAGGAAAGAAAGGAATTCTTTTCGACTACTGGCCCACAAGACTGCAGGCACAGACATGGGGTTGCTTTCTTCACAGCCCTAGGGCAGGGTAGGGTCATAACTGGGAAGGGGATGGGAGTGAATTCACAGGGGATGCAAACAGCCCAGGATTTGCTACCTGCAGCAACATGATGTCGTTGGCGGAGGTCCAATCATTATAGGCTGGGTGGGGGATGGCTCTTATCACAGGGATGACCTGCTGGGTAGGCTCCTCCTTGGTGATGTCATGGGCCCCCAGGGTGACGGTGATAGAGCTGCATAGAGAACAGAGAGGGAGGAGTCACAGGAGACACAGGCCAGAGGCTAGGTAGGGGAGGACAGGTGGGGCCAGCAGGTTGGGGTTGGGTGGAGCTATAGGGGATGGACCCTGTGCTCTCTGCTTCCAGGCAGCCTCATCTCTCAGGGCAGAGTTATGGTGCTCAGTTACCCACACAGTCTGATTGCCTAAGCAAAACTGTGAATTTCTCAAATTTGAGCTCTGGGCTCTGGGACACAACCTTCGTCTCTGTCCATGCTACCCTTGATCAGTTCCTTCTCTCTGCCGTAGGCCATTTGCATTGACCTGTCTCTCTCTCCTCAAATCATACCTATCCTCAAAAGAAGCTGCTATTTATTAGGTGTCCCAGGTCCACAACCCCTATAGGAGGGTGTCCACATGAGGGTGGGCCCAGGGGCTGCTCCTTACTTTTCCCAGCAGTGAACTGCGGTCAGCACAATGTCATCACGTATCAGAAACCCCCCACACTTTTTATGTGGATATTGCATTTGAAGAAATGCCATGTAGGGACGAGAATGAGGGTTGGACTCATGGCCATCGACGATTTTCACTGAAAGAAAAAGTCTCATGTTAGCTGTGCTCATGGAGCCAAATGATGTTTGTGATATTTAAAACAGGAGTTGAGATGTTGAATTGAGTTTGATCTGGTAAAGCCTGACCCTCAGTTGGTGCCCAGTGAAGGTCTTGGCAGCATGAAGGAAGGACTCCCAATTAACCTTGGGATGAGGGCCAGCTGGGGCAGTACTGGTGGATTCTGAGCAGCAGGGCGATACCCCCACCCCCCACTCCAAAGTCTCTGTTCTCCATGTGACTGCAAACTACTATTGAGACTAAATCAGTCAACAGAGTGTATAAGGGGACGCTGCCAATTCTGGGATCACCTGGGCCTTGACTTCATTGGGAATGACAAAGCTTGGAGAATGGGGTGGACACTGAGGGTTGATTAAAGATGCTGAATTTAAAAAATGAGTGGGCCTTACTTTAATTACAGAAACCAACCCTTTCCCCAAACTGCCTTTTATTGGGGAATTATTGCATTTCTCTTTCCCAGCTTCAGACCTTTCAGATGTGCCTGTAAAAAAAACCTGGCTTTCCAGAGAACAAGGTTCGGTCCTGGGGAGGAAATATACCCAATGGCTACTATGGAGAACAGCCTTCTGCCCCGCCATTCCTTCTGAGATTTTATTAAGTCAGATCTGCTGATCTTCGAGGGAGATAGGTCCTGGAGTACAGAAAGTTCCTGGGGGTGAGCCAGGGCCACGGTGTGTCTGGATATAGCATCTGTGCCAGTGGGTTGGGGCTTCTGCAGGTGGGGATGTCACTCACCTGCCTCCAGCCCAGGGGACAGAAGACAGGCCACCAGGAGCAGGAGCAGCTGCATCTCCCCAGGAAGGCTGCCCAGGCTAAATTGCTCTTGGACCTTCCTCCTGGCCTTCTAAGCACCGTGTCCTCCTCTGGTGTTGTGTTCTTTACCATGTAAGGCTCTCTCTGAAAGCCGCACACCACACACCGCACACCGCTGTCTTAGCAAATCTCAGGACCTGAGGGCAGTAAGAATTTAGCAATTACCACATTAGCTCTGGTAACCCATAACTCAGAGCTGACCACACCCCTAAGCATAGTAACCACAGGCTTCAAGTTGGGGAGGTTGGAGATGTAGCTTCAGTCAGTACGCATGTCCCTGGTCTCAGAAACCTGAGTCTCCTGGTGACTGAGCCAAGAGCACCTTTATTTCCTTGGTCCCCTTAGGCTGTTAGGAGCCTGGCTTGCTGGGGCCTCTTTCTGTGTGAGGCCCTGCGGTATGAGAGAGGAGATCCCTTGCTTCTGGTGGAGGAAACAAAGATACAAGGGAACAAAGAGGATGGAGGGGCCGTGGGTAGAGGGATGGACAGGATGGCCTGCAGGAAGCTGAAGAGGTCTTGTCCTACTTACTAAAGAACGTAGTGGTTCGAAACACAGCATTTACATTGTCCACGAATCTGCAGGTTGGTCAGTGGCCAGTGTGGACAGCCCCCTCCTCTTTCCTCGTGTTAGCAGGGGAGGCTTGCAGCCTGGAGGCTGGAGCCCCTGAAGGCTGGCCCACACGTGCCCAGCAGTGGTGGGGATGTCAGGCTCTCCCCAGGATGGCCTCTCCGGTCTTCTCTGCCTGGGGGTGTTCTGCTTTCCTGGCAATGTGATTCCCCAAAAGTGAGCCAGGCAGATGCTGAAACTGTGCTCTTTTATCACCAAGACTTTGAAGTCATATGGCCTCTAGTCTACCATATTTACGGCTTGGGACAGCCAAAGGCTCCTGCCCAGATAAAAAGGAAGGGGGCATAGATGCAGTCCTGTAAGAGGACTGTAGGGCAGGAGACACACAGTGGGAGCAGAGCTCAGCTGATCTGCTCGCTGCCCTGGGTGCGTACAGAGGTGGTCAGGGCAGCTGGCATCACTCATCTGTCTAAGCCTAAGTCATAGTCCTGCCTCTACTCAGGTGATATCTGAATCTAAGCGCATGCAGTGGCTCACCGCACCGTTGTCCTCTGCTACTTCTACCTGATACTGGGTCTCACTTGGTGGAGGATGAATGTTAGTCATCACTTTAGGGATTAAAGGTGAGCCCTCAGGGTCCACTTATGTGTCGGGACCCCGTAAGTTGTACATTTCTTTTGAAAGATGGCTGGTATTGTAAGTGCCTCTGTGTGGCAAATTAGCCACACAGAATGGCTGGGGGCTGTTCTAGGCACAGGCACGCTTGGATTTCACAAGCATGTTTCTAATCTATACTCATTTTTTTTTTAAAAAAAGATTTATTTATGTATACAAGAACTGGGGTGCAGACCAGAGGTGTAGGGGTGAGAGGATTCACCAGAGACAGAGCGGGGAACAGAACAGGCAGACTGAAATACACTGCTGAGGGGAGTAGCGGGAGGCCCCCAGTCAAAATTTCTATTTGTTGACTGGCAAGATATGGTGCTAATAATTGTGTCTCAACAGGGCTGTATCTAATTTCAGCATCCTTCTAGAATGTGACAAAAGCCTAAAGGAATGCACCTTCCTTGTTGCCACAGCTCCATCTGAACCCATCAGGGTGTCTGCTTGCATCCAATTAACATTTCTTCTCTGCCTGCAATGTGCCTGAGACTTGTACCTGTTGTAGTAAAATTTTAGCCTGAGTGAAGGCTTCTTCTCGAGGCTCCTGCCAGTCCCAACCCCTCCCACCCCCACTTTTACCAGTTGTTAAAGGAATATAAGACCCGGGTTAGGTGAGGTAGGAAAAGTGGAATAATAAGCCAATGGAAGTGTGTAATTGCTGGGCACTGGAAAAGCTTACTTTTATCTACCATAGCAGCTGGCATGACCTTAGTCATACTCGACCAGAGAGTTTCGAAGAAATTTACTGATTGTCCTGGTCTCTGGGTCTTGCTGGGATTCACTGTCCATTCTATTAACTCTTGCACATTAGTAGAAAAGTATTTCAGATATTAAAACCAGATTGCTACAGGCTGACATTGGATCATTTATGTAATGAAATATTATCAACCCAGGGAGGCCCTACCCACCTTCCCAGGTCTCTAGCCACTACACTGTGGTAAATAGTGGGACTGTGTAAATACCCTTGTGGGGACATAAGGAAAGTCACTGTTGTCCATTCCAGGAAAAAGCAAATTGACCCTTGGGCTGGGATATCCAAGGGGATGCTGAAAAAAGCATTAGACAAATCCAAGACACTGTGCTAGAACCCTGGAGCTGCTGAGCCTCAGCCAGGAGAGCGGCATGTCAGGAACAGCAGCAGGTGGTGGTGGAGTGACCTGTGTAACTCCCTATAATCCAGAGTCATTCTCCTTTTTCAATGACGTTTTTTACTGGCCACGCAGGACTACTATGTATGGGCTGTCTGCAGGGCACACCTCCCCTGCCTTTCTTACCCTGTAATTGTGGCCATAATATCCTCATGCCCTCTGGGCAAGCAGTGTTGTTTAATGTGTGGCACCCTGCGAGGAACAGGCAGTGTTTGGGGCGTCCTCTCTACAAGGCCAGTTTGTCCAGGCCAAGTCAGAATTTGCCAGTAGTGGTGGTAATATCCGATCCTTGTAAAACACCACCCAAAATACATTCAGGTATCAGTGAGACAAAGACTGAGTGTAATTTTGGTGGTAATCTATTAATTTGTAAATATAAAGATACTTGTTTAATTCTGATTGTTTTTTCTCCACCCCATCAATAGCCACAATTGGTCCTTTAAATTTACTTGCATTTCCATAAATCAAAGCACTTTCAGCTCCTCTGTCAACCACAGCCAATACTGGCAGCTTGTGGAGCTAGACCCGTAAATAGTGAGCCCAACACGTGGCTGCCAGTCACCCCCTGAAGCCCGGCTAGCGGCAACTTTGGCCTGTGTCCTGTTCTAGAGGGCAGAGGAAATCCTTCCCTGCTTCTCCGGAAAAGTGAGGGGTGAGCTGGGCCCTCTTTCTGATTTGGGAGTAAGAGATGGAGACCACTTCTCAGGCTCTGCTTTTGTCACTGGGTTGTTTATCAATGATTCTCAGTGTTCCTGCTGCAAGGAGATGGATCCACAGCTGTTTCTCTCTCAGTCTGATGGTTCCCTTTGTCTTGACCAATTTGCATTTAAAGGGAGACTTATACTACCCACCATCTTCTCAAAGCCCAGTTTCACTCAGAAATAAATGCTACACTGTAGGTATGGGCTGCCGCTAAAGGACTTACTAGACACTGAAGCCCCACCGTCATAAGTCATGACCAGAGCAGATGGCAAAACGTGGGCTTTGTTCCCAGCAGTCACCATTCATCATGGGCTCTCTATAGCAAGTTGTCGAATTATGTCTTACAATTCCTCCATAGAGTCCCCTAATTAGGCCAGGTTAATGTAAACCCCAGCATAACCCAGTTGACCAAGTTAGTTATTTGGGCTAGATTTTGTTTTTGCCCTGCAGTGAATAATCACTGCCAAATATTTTAGAGATTTCCTTTTTTTTTTTTTTAAAGCTTTTTTTTTTCTTTTTTTTAAAGATTTATTTATTTAGGGCCTCCTGGTGGCGCAGCGGTTGAGTGCTGGGTTGTGAAGCTGCCCGCAGCCTCTGCAGCGCTGGTTCGATTCCCCGCCGCCTGCAAGGGTCCCACATGGTGCACAAACCTCTTCTGCTGCCCGCTGCTCCCCTCAGCAGTGTATTTCATCAGTCTGCCTGTTCTGTTCCCCGCTCTGGCTCTGGTGCATTCTCTCACCCTCCCGTTCTTCTGACTGCAAGAGCGTGAGGGTGAGAAAACGCACCAGAGCCAGAGCGGGGAACAGAACAGGCAGACTGATGAAGTACACTGCTGAGGGGAGCAGTGGGTGAGACAGGAGTGGTCTGTCGCGCCATGTGGGACCCTCACTGGCAGCCAGGGATTGAACCTGCACTACAGAGGCTGCGGGCAACTTCACAGCCCAGTGCTCAATCGCTGTGCCTCCAGGGAGGCCCAATAAATAAAATCTTTTAAAAAAAATTGATTGATTGATACAAGAACCGGGGTACAGGCCAGATGTGTGAGAGGATTCACCAGAGACAGAGCGGGGAATAGAACAGGCAGACTGACTGAAATACATTGCTGAGGGGAGCGGTGGGCGAGACAGGAGAGGCCTGCCATGCCATGTGGGCTGCTCCTCAGCTGGCAGGGATCGAACTCACACTGCAGAAGCTGCGGATAGCTTCACAGTGCTGCGCTCAACTGCCTGCGCCACCAGGGAGGCTCAAGACATTTCCTTTTAACGTGACTGGCCTTAGCCTGGTTCCACAAGTGCTTGAGCCATGTGGTGACATTTTCTTTGTATTTCTGTCTGAATCAGCTGGCCAATTACCAACTCTGCAGATGTACACTCGCTCTTGGTAATTTTAGTTGTGGCCAGTAACTTAGCGCTTCCTCCCTCCCCCCAGGCTCATAGATAGCTTTTCATTGGATTAAATGTCCGGCCTGGTGAGGCACAGCCCTTTCATTCCTGGGCTCTTAGGTCACAGGGAAAGGTAGAGATTCTTCCCATACATCATCTTCTACCATGGATTTGTCATCCTCACTCTTTCTCAGAGATGTTAAGTTTTGGGGTTCCAATTTCCCTTGCAACAACTGTTCTAATGTTGATTCTCCTTGTCTAGTCATCCTGCATTTTAGGGCTCTGCTTTGGCTGCTGGCTCAACTTCTGTGGTTTCTCTCAGGCACACAGCACCTGCACACTGTGGCTGCAGCTGCTAATGCACAGTCCTTTTCCCCTCTCCTTCCCTCCAGATTACCCTGGAGCACTTCTAGCAGTCTGGCTAGAGTTTCTGGAGCTCCCCCACACTCACACATGGGTCCAAACTGCTCTATAAAGAGCTGCCTTTCCCCCAAGTGGAGGTGAGAGATTACCCGGAATTCCCCCAAAGTAGGGCCTGGCCACCCATACTTCAGTTTTGCCACCAAGACCTCCCTGTCCCTCCTTGTCCTGCATTTTGCATGCTTCTCCTTGGACTCTTGACTGGCTTGCCAACTGTGTGGCTGTGGGAACAAATACGATTTTTAGTACTGATAATCTGAGTCAGAAGAATGAAGCAGGCACTTCTATTAATCACACTTAACATTCATTGAAGTCAACTTACGTACAGGGGTCCTCAGTGCTGGAACCAGGGGACAGGACTTCTGTTCGAGGCAGGATCCACACCAGCCCCTCTTGACAAGGGTCTTCTATAGCCTGCTCAGTCCATGTGATCATTCTTGCGTAAGACTAATGACGTCAGATGTGCAGGAGGACATGCCATGTGTCTTTGTTCTACTGAGATGGATAGAGCTGTGTATATATCATAAGTACAGGTTAATAACACAAAAGAAAAAAACAATGGGGAAACTGGCTATTTTCCCAAGGTAGGACAATGATCATCAATAAGATCAATGAATGAATTACTGATACCACATGACATGGAGATGGATGCCAGGGTCCAAGGCAGTAGTCTCCTACTGCTGTACTACATTTCTGAGATCACTGTAGCAATTTTCTGAACAAATTATCCTGAGGATCCATCTCCCCATAGCTGAAAAAGAGGGGTCATGGAATTGAAAATATTGTTGGTTTGAAACATCTTGGTCCCCATTCTCTTAGAAGAACTGACAAAAAAGAAAAGGTGTTTAGTAAAAACATAGCCAGAATTGTGAAAAACTTATTTGAGGAAAAATTTAAAAATATCTCCTAAAACTGCAAAAATAGACCTGAGAAATAGATGTTCTTAGTTTTTGGAAGGCTGGATCCACACAAAAATGGCACCTACTCTTTCCGTGCTAATATATAAATTCAATGTGATTCCAATAAGAAAAACACTTTTTTTCTTCTAGGCAGTTTCTTAAATTCAAATTAAAATAAACATGAAAAAATAACTAGGAAAATTATGACACATAAATGAGTACTAAGAGAAGATTAGCCTAATCAATTCTTAAAAATATCTGATAAAACTGCTTTTTGAAAATACAGTGTTGCTGACTCATGACTAGACAGAGAGACTAACAAAACAGAACAGAAAAATCCATAAACCCCCCAAATACATATGAAATACAGTTTAGAATAAGATGGCATTTCAGATCATTGGGGAAAAGATGGACTTTTAATTAAATGATTGGAACAATGAAATAATCATTTGTGAAGAGATTAAATTGGAGTTGTATCTCACATAAGCCACCAGAATAAATTCCAAATAGATAAGAGACTCCAATACACAAAGTAAAACCCTACAAATACTACAAATACACAAGGGGAAGTGCCTTCCTAGACAGAGTGGGGAGAGCCTTTCTAGGAGAGGCTCTAAATCTAGAAGTATTAAAAGAAAAAAATTGTCAATGAATTTTGATGATTAAAGCATAAACTTTTTTTTTGAATATTTTATTTTTTATTTTATTTTTTTAAAGATTTATTTTTATTTATTTACACAAGCACTGGGTACAGTCAGAAGCGCGGGAGGGTGAGAGAATTCACCAGAGCCAGAGCAGGGAGCAGAGCAGGCAGATTGACGAAGTACACTGCTGAGGGGAGCAGCGGGCAGCAGGAGAGGTCTGTGTGCCATGTGGGACCCTCCTCCGGTGGCCGGGGATCAGTCGGGAATCGACCGGTGCTGCAGAGGCTGTGGGCAGCTTCACAACCCCGCGCTCAACCGCTGTGCCACCAGGGAGGCCCTAAAGCGTAAACTTTTAAAAGTTTGTCAAAAACCATTGAAAGAAAATGCAAAAGACAGACAGCAGACTTGGGGAAAATGTAGCACAAATTAAAGAGCTAATGGGCTTTCCTGGTGGCGCAAGGGGTTAAGTCTCATTACGATGATGCTATCACTAGCCACTGCAGCATGAGTTCAATCCCTGGCCAGGGAACTGTCCCACTTGGTACAGAAGACCTCTTCTGTCTCACCCGCTGCTCCCCTCAGCAGTGTATTTCAGTCAGTCTGCGTGTTCTCCCCACTCTGTGTTTGGTGAATCCTCTCACCACCCATCACCTCTGGCCTACACCCCAGCTCTTGTATGCATAATAAAAATAAATCTTAAAAAAACAAATTAAAGAGCTAATATAGCACAATTAAAGAGCTAATCTATTTGTAATATAATTCTAGAAATGTAGATGATCAAGACTCAAAATCGGACAGAGAAGTAGGCAAACGACTTGACGGTGCACAATAAGATATATTTAAAAAAGAATGAAAAGAGTCTCAATCCCTTCCATATTAAGAGGAATGGCAAAACCTGGAAGTAACAGGCTGCTGCAAAGGAACAAGAGAGGTAGATCTTCCAGATAAAAGTCTCAGCACTTTCAAATTATAGGGCCTGCGCTACGTGTCCCCAATGCCTGGAACTTAGTAGGTGCTCAATGTGTATTTGCTCATTGATTGATGAAAAAAATTGTGCAGAGAGGAGCCCAAGGTGGCCAGCAGGGAGGCTTAGTCCAGAGGTCAGCAGTGACTTAGAGGGACAGGCTAAAAGGGCTCAGGCCACTGAGTGGCCAGGAGGCCAGTGGATCCTGAGTACATAAACGGGGGGCCCTGGGCTGCATGTGAGGGGCTGAGCCCACCCTGCCCAGTGAGGGATGGGCTGAGGGTTCTGGAGAGACACACGGCCAGCCCTCCTCCACGGACACCCTGGTAGGGGGGACCCTCTGAGAGCCCCTCTGTGCCTGGGCAGGAGTTGGGCTGGCCCTGCTGGGCCCACACAGAGCTCTGGGGATCCTTGGTGGGGAGTGGGGGTATGAGGAAAGGGACAGCTCAGGCCAGTGTGGTCTGGAGGGGCCAGGAAAGGTGGCCGGAGATCTGCCAGTGGCAAGCTGAGATGGAGAAGAAGGGATGGCTAGGAGATGAGACCGAGCTAGACTCTGCTTAGAGGGGGCAGAGAAGGGCGGGGAAGGAAACCCAACCTATTTGAGAATGAGGAGCTTCTCAACACCCCTGCCCCATGGCAGCCGGCTTCCCTGGCTGGGGAGAGAATTGCCTTCCCCTCCCCAGTGGGGCTGAGGCCTATGTCCTGGGCTGCAGTTCCACGCTGAGCTGCCTGGTGTCCAGGACCCATGGTGATAGCCCTTCCCCTGCCACATAACAGGGGAGGGAGGGAAGAAGTTCCCCTCGAGCCCCCGGACAGAGAAGTTCATATTTTCTCCTGATGGCGCTCAGCCTCAGCCCTGGCAAGGGCAGATGCCGGAGAGACAGATGGATGTAAGGGCCTGGGTGGCAGTTTTTCATGGGGTTTGGCAGAGGCGGGGAGGTGGATGAGGGAGCAGAGAACAGGTGAGTTGTGACACTGACTTCTGAGCAGAGTTGCGCCTGTGAGTGAGGGTGAATAAATAAACCAGCAGTGCCCACTCAGTGCAGAGATGTTTATTCAGCTGAAGGTGATTCTGGAACAGCTCCCAGAGGCTGGTACCTGCAGTCACAGGCTTCTCATGGTTTCCTTTATCCAGGGCAGGAAACTTGAGACTTTGGTGTAGACACGTGGAGGTTTCCCACTTTTAAATCCATAGTCAACAATGCCCATAGCCATCTTCTTACACACCAGGGGCCCCCCGGAGTCCCCCTGTGGACAGAGAAGGGGAAGACTGAGCCAGCTCTTTCTGGTCTTGCTCTCTGCATCCCAAGACTGTCTCAGAGAAGCAGCCTCCATGTGGGAGGTGGCAGGGAGAACCCCTGGGGGTCCCTCACTGCCAAGCCCCTACCCTGAACACTGTCACCACTTCACTTCACCCAGGTGGCTGCTCCCTGTCTTCTGCAGGTCCTGGATCCACAGCCCACAGAGGTGCTGAGGGGCGTAGCCCTGTCTACTGAGGACATAGGCGAGGGCTGACACTGGAGGGCTGATCTGGAGGGAAAGTCCGTTCACTCAGGGGTCTCTCTCTGAGGAGCAAGGTGGTTTTAATGACTAGCAAGGTGCTCGTGGACACCAGGGAGCACTGTCTTCTCACTTCTGTCCTGAGAGGGTGGAGCGCTGCAAACCCATCCTCCAGGACCCTGGGGAGGATCACCATGTATGCATTTACCTCAGGCCCCTGGAGGCTCCCAGAGGCCCCCAGATACTCCCCAGCCTGGTGTGCACCCCTTCTCTTCCCAGGAAGAAAGACCACGGCTTAGATAGGGTGAGCAAGCTCCCCAATGCTTGGGTCTCCAGGCACAAGATCTTCCCCAAACAGCCTTCTCCCCACAAAAGCTAGGCTCAGTCTCACCTGAAAGGAAGCCTTATCTTTCTTTGGGTCCCCTGCACACAGCTGAATACGGTTGTCATAGTGATCTGGATAACATTGTTTGCACTCCTGATCCTCCTGGATGGTTAGTTTCACTTCCTGCAGCTTGTCTGAAAATTCTTTCTGCCGGTTGCGCCCCCAGCCGGCCACACTGCACACCTGCCCTGGCCTCACCCGGTCCCTGGCCCTGGGCAGCCTGAGGATATTTACAGCTTTGTTCTTCTTGGCTTTCCTCTCCAGCTAAAGGGGGAGAGACAAGAGGGCATTCAGTGACCTCTGGGCATGGACACCCTCGTGGGGAGAGTGTCCTCTCCCCTGAGTCACAGGGACTAGCCAGACAGCAAGGTTGGGAAGGCAGGAAGCCATGTGCACCCTGGAGAGAGGAGCAGCAGGGGGATTACCTCACCTGCAGCAACATGATGTCGTTGACGTGGGTCGTATTATTATAATTTGGGTGGGGGATGGCTCTCTTCACAGGGATGACCTGCTGGGTCCTCTCCTGCTTGGTGATGTCATGGGCCCCCAGGGTGACGTTCATTGAGCTGCACACAGAGAAGAGGGAGAAGTCACAGGAGACACAGTGCTAGAGCCACGCAGGGAGGGGCTGGCGGGGCAGGGAAGGCAGCAGCTGAGGGGAAATGGAGGCAACAGAGGAATCAGGGCTCATCTGTTGCGCCCTCTGCTTCTCAGTAACTGAGGGAGTATTCTAGAGCTATTGGTAACTGCATTGTGGACCCAGGGGTCAGATACCTCAGGAAGGCATGCGAAATTGCTTTAGTCTGCATCTGATGCCCAAGCGGTCCAGCATTAAAGCCAGCAGGGCTGAGCACTCTCTCTTCCCTGCAGGTCTCCAGCTGGCACTGCCCTGGCTCCTCCCTACCAGCTACCAGCACATTTCTCACCTCTGAGGACTCTTCTGGCTCATGTACTCCTAGAAGCTGGGGAGCTCCTGGGGAGAAGTGGGGCTCTCAGGAGGGTGTGGACTGTGGCTGCTCCTCACCTCACATTACAGTGAGCCGCTGTCAGCACGAAGTCCTCTCGAATCAGGAAACCACCACAACCACACTTCTTGGTGTTAAATGGCAGGAATTTGTCATCAAACCAGCTCTCAGATTTCTGACCTGATATCCGTAGGAATGCCATGTAGGGTCGGGAGTGGGGTCTGGCCTCATGTCCCCCGATGATCTCTCCTGAAGGAAATGTCAGGTCTGCTTGTGCATCCACTCACTGCACCCGCCCCGATGCTCACACTGCAGGACATTTGGGAGCCCAGTTTGGCCTGGGGTGGTGGGGGTGCTCAAGGCTCCACCACTTTCCCCCTCCCAGAGGAGGGAAACCTCTCTGCTCAGCCTGTGCTCTGCCTTCACCCAAAGCTGGAGGTGAGCACGCCTGTGTGGGGACAGTAAACTGCTCCAGGTTCTGGAAAATTCCTCTCCTGGGTTTCATTTATGTCACGTAGTTTCAAGGCCCCTGTGAGTCTGTGCCATCTCTGACAGTGCTGCTTTCTAGAACCCAAGTTGACGTGCAGAGTCTAGATGTTGTCCAGCCTGATTCCTGGGCCTGACACCTAGCGGTGCCCATGATCATCGGCTGCAGGAAGCCCCTGAGGCTGAACAAGGGGTGGAGGGGCTAGTTTTGGAGGATTCTGGAAAGCAGGGAAGCTTGGGTCTGTCAAACAGTGGCCCATCCTTGAAAAGAGGGGAGCTGCGAAGGACCTGGGAAGAAAAGCAGAGTTGGAGAAAGGGGCTGAGGGGCCCTGGCTGAGCAAAGGCAAAGCAGTCTTCTGGGGACAGTGTCACCAGGTCTGGTGTCTTCTCTCCTAAGCAGATGTTGAGGGACCCCATCTGGTCCCAGACCTGGAGTGAGGCCCTCACTGCCCTTGGCAGGGGGATTTAGTGTTAGGCTCTGCCAGTTTCCCACCCTCTGCATGCACTTCCAGGGAGACTCCACTCTCTGCATGGCAGGGGCTGGCAGCACTGGGAGAGGAGACAGCACCACTGGCTCTTCTTAAGAACAGGCCTGGCCTGGCTGGTCCAGCTGGCAGCTTATCCAGCTTTATCTTGGGGTCTGATGTGGGACAGGAGCTGGGGATCAGTACATCCTGGCCGGTGAAAGCCAGGCAGAACGGACAGGGGACCTGTGGCCTCTGAGATGGGGAAGGTCACTCACCTGCCTCTGCCCTGGGGGGCAGCAAACAGGCCAGCAGCAGCGGAAGCAAGAGTTGCTGCATCTTCCCAGGAGGCTGCTCGGTGGAGCCACTGGGGCGTCCTTTCCCCGGAGAGGATGGAAGAGCAGGTGGGCCCTGGGAGCTGGGGTATGTTTCTGGTCTGTGGTGCCTCATTTATGAAGGCTGCCCGCCCCCACACCTGCTGCCTGGTGACGCCCCCTGGGTAGTGTGAGGACCCACAGTGGCCACATCACTACCCACAGCTGATGACTCAGAAAAGACCACTTGTCCCAACCCAGACAGGAACCTGAGGCTAAGGGGGGGGATGTAGGAGGTGGTATCGACCGGTAGAGGTGCCAGAGCCCCAGAAATCAAGTCCCTAATGACAGACCCACACCCCTTCATCTCCATCCTGCCAAGTCCTTCAGGATAGTTTCTTCAGCCGAGGTGCAGGCCCTGCTGTGCTGCGTCCAGATGCAGATGCAGCTGTGCAGGCTGTGGGTGCACAAGTCAGTGACAGCCACAGCCACTACATCCAGACAGCAGCCCTGCCTCATCCCAGCTTCCTTCCTGAGTGTTATTTATCATCCCTTTATAATTACAAATGCTCAGAGTGAGGCCATCTCTTTCAACTTTTGTTTTTACCAAACTGGCCCTTGATATTGATTGACCTAAACAACAAGTCTATATGGCCCTAGAAGTTGGGTCCATGGGCTGACAAGCCTTGGTCTTCCCTGCTTTGGGGGCACTGGGGTGGGTCCCACTCAAGCACATGGGCTAAGATTGCAAAGGATGCCTTCTCCCAAGGAAGTTAGATTGCTAAGCTGCCAATACCATGCGAAGTGGGCAGCATGCTGGGCATCGGAGACCAGGACTTGACCTTTTGGTGATCTCTGACCTCTGGACAAATCTCAGAATCATTGAGCTAATGAAAGAAGCCAGACACAACATACCACATAATGCAAGGTTCCTCTGTGCTCCTCCCACCCACAATAGGACAAGCAGGGCGATACACATGAGAGAAATGTTGGGTCATCCCTCAGGACATTAAAGATGATTACTAACAAGTAATGAGAAATTAAGGCACTTAATAATTTTGCTTTGTTTTTAAAATTTTAAACAACTGTAGAAATTGGTTGCAAATAAAATTTTAAAAACCAAAGAGATATTATAGTACCCTTACATACATTTTTAAGAACATGGAGGAAAGGCTTAAGTTGTAGACTTTAGTGAGATCAAAGAAAATGGCACTGTAGATCTTGTATGAGCCCAGGATTTAAAACTGAATGCTTATATAACAGTCTGTGGGAGATTGCAATGAATGACAACTTTCCTTCTACTTTCAGTTTCTTCATGAAATGGAAAATATATTACCACAATAAAATATATTTTGGTTTATATTTATATATAACTACACATTACCACAATTATTACCACTTTAATTCAAGATAATTACTACAGTAATTAGAGATAATTTTATTTTTCAATAAGATTTACTATGAGAAAGTTCAAATTTGTTGACCTCCTTGGTTAAATTTGGTACTGGGCATTTTATTTTTGGGGATGCTATTGCAAATGAAATTGTGTTAAGTTCCTTTTTGAATTATTCGTTGCTGGCATATAGACATACACTTGAGCTTGTAATTCTGCCATTTAAAAAATTATTTTTCTTGTATTTTTTGGTGATTTTCTATATATATAGTCATGTCCTCTGCAAACAGGTAGTTTTACTTCATTTTTTTCCAATTTGCATGTCTTTTATTTCAGTGTCTTGCATAATTGTTCAGTCTAGGACTTTGAATTCGATGTAAAACAGTGGTGATGAGTGGTCATACTTAGCTTGCTCCTAATATCGGTCTTTTATTACTGCATACGATTTTAGCTTTAAGGTTTTGGTAAATGCCTTGCACCAATGAAATGAAGCTTGCTGAAGCTTTTTTCCTCTTTAAAGTCATGAAGAGGTTTTTGTTAAATGAATTTTCTGCATCTATTGAGATGATCATGTATTTTCCCCCTCATTCTATTACTATAGTGGGTACACTGATTTAATTTATAATGTTGAATCACCCTTACTTTATAGGGTGGTTATGGGCTATAATCCTTTTATTATGTTGTTGAGCTCAATTTGATAGTTTCTTGTTGAGGAACTTTGCATCTATTTTCATAAAGGATATTGATCTTCAAGTTTTCTTTTGGGTCTTTTTCTGATTGCTACCTGGGAATGTTGGCCTTTAGAATATGTGAGAAAGTATTCTTCTTCTTTTTTTTTGGAAGATTGTTTTTAATTCTTTTTTTAATAATTTTTTTTTTTTACATCATTGTTCATCTTTTTTTTTTTTTTTTATTTCAACAGAATTGTTGGTTATTTTTCTTTCTTTTTTTTTTTTTTTTTTTTTATCCATGCACCATCACCTCAGTCCACTCCCTCCCTCTGATACCTCCCTCCCTCTCTCTGATTCCTCTCCCTCCTCCTCCCCTGCAGGATGACTCTGATTTATAATTGTTCATTTTTTGCTTTGTTGTGTTTTGTACTGTTATTATTTTTTTACACTAATGTCTTATTTGGTTCCCCTATATTCCTGCTCCAAGTGAAACCATCTGATATTTTTCTTTTTCCTTCTGGCTTATTTTACTGAGCATAATTCTTTCTAGTTTCATCCATGTTGCTGCAAATGACATGAGTTTATCTTTTTGATTGCTGAATGCTGAATAATATTCCATTGTGTATATATGCCACATCTTCTTGATCCAGGCATCTACTTTTGGGCATTTGGGTTGTTTCCAGGTTTTATCTATTATAAATAGTGCTGCAATAAACATAGGGGTGCAGGTGTTCATTTGGATCAATGTTCTTGTATCCTTTGGGTAGATGCCTAGGAGTGGAATTGCTGGGTCATATGGCAGCTCCATTTTTAGTAGACTGAGGAACCTTCAGAAAACTTTCCATAGTGGTTGGACCAGTTTGCACTCCCACCAACAGTGCAGGAGAGTTCCTTTTTCACCACATCCTTGCCAACATTTGTTGTTGCTAGTTTTTTTAATATGTGCCATTCTCACTGGTGTAAGGTGGTATCTATGTGAGGAAGTATTTTTCCTGGTTCATTTTGTTTAATGAGTTTGAGTGAGATTGGTGACAATTCTTTAAATGTTTAGTAGGATTTACCAATGATGCCATCTGGGCCTGGGATTTTCTTTGTTGGGAGGGTTCTGATGACTGGTTCAATTTCCTTATTTGCTATATATAGTTCTGGTCAAATTTTTATTTCATCTTCAATAAGTTTTGGAAGTTTCTGTTTTTCTAGGTATTTGTCCATTTCATCTAGGTTATATAATTTGTTGGTGTACAAATGTCAGATATCATTCCCCACAAATTCTTTTAATTCCTCTAGGTTGGTAGTAACACTTTCATTTGGTATTCTGGTTTTAATACTGTAAATCTTCTTTCTTTTTAAAAATCATTTGATCTAGTTAAAAGTATCCATTTTTGTTGACCTTTTCAAAGAAACAATTTTTGATCCAATTGATTCTTTCTATTTTGTTTGATTTCTTCTCTAACCTTTACTATTTTTTTTTCCTTTTGTTGGCTTGGGTTATTTGATCATCTTTTTCTTGTGCCTTTAGAAAATTCTAAAATCCTTTAGGCTCTTCCTTCTAGTTCTTTCAGGTGTAGTGTTGGGTTATTGATTTGACATCTTTTTCCTTTTTTAATGTAGGCATTTTACTTATATATTTCACTATGAGCACTACTTTTATTGCATCCATTGAATTTTGGTATGTTGTATTTTTATTTTCATTTGTCTCAGTGTTTTCTAATTTTGCTGTCATTTCTTCTTTGATCCCTTGGTTATTTGTGTGTTGCTTGATTTCCATGTCTGTGAGTTTTCCAATTTTCCTTCCATTACAGATTTTGACTTCCATTTCTAAAGGTTGGAGAAAATTATTTGTATTATTTCATGTTTAGTAATTATAAATTTAACTAAGTATTTGAAACTTACTGAGAAATGTTTTATGACCTAACCTATGGCTTATCCTGGAGAATGCTTCCTGAGAGAACATGCACTTGAGAGAATACGTATTCTGCTGGGGCTGGAGTATCCATATATGTGTTTGGTCTCATTGGTGTATAGTGTTGCTCAAACTCCTGGTTTCCTTATTAATTTTCTGCCTAAAGGTTCTACACACTATTTAAAGTGTGTTATTCAACTTTCAAACTAATTTTAGAGAATTGATTATATCCCCTTCTGATTTTCTGTTTGCTTCATATACTTGGAGCACTGATAGGATTAATCAGTTTGTTGACCAAATGAGGAAATAAAAGCCATATCATAATGCTGCCTAACACTGATCCCTGATCATAGATCCCCACTCTACCCTCTGAGGGAGCTACTGACATTTCTTCATTTCACAGATGAGACAGTTGCACGGGAAAGTACTTTTCCTCTTTGTTCATGTGATGAGCGTGGAGAGGGAGCAAGGGTTAGAATGTAGGTGTCTGATTCCAGAGTGGGTGATCTTATCCAAGCTCTGCAAATGCACTGTTTCCTACATTGCCAAGGAATGTGGGGAAAAATAAAGTGTTGCTGAAGAATATAGTTTCTGTTTATATTGCTAATGTAAGCAATTCTGTTCTCTTAGAGGAGAAAGGTTCCCTATCATGATGGAAATGCTCATTTGGATCACACAGTTCCTTTCCTTAAAAATATTTTAGGGCCTCCCTGGTGGCGCAAGGGGTTGGGCACCACACTATGAAGAAATCCACAGCCTCTGCAGCACAAGTTCGATCCCCTGCTGGCGAGGTAGCAACCCACATGGCGAAGTAGACCTCTCTTGTCTCGCCTGCTGCTCCCCTCAGCAGTGTGTTTCAGTCAATCCGCCTGTTCTGCTCTCCACTGTCTCTGGTTAATCCTCTCGCCCCCTCTCCCACACCTCTGGCCTGTGCCCCAGCTCTTGTATGCATAAATAAATAAATCTTTAAAAATTTTTTTTATAGTATATTAAAAATCATTTTTTTCTTTTTATCCTGATGTTCTTTCTCCAAATTTCCCACAGAATATTGAGCCTGG